AAGTGGAGTTTAAATAGATCTAGATATTGACTACGATGCCAGAAGTCTCTGTCGCTCCGAGAAAGTTGTGAAAACGAGCTTAAACCGACACAAACTAACTTAATGCATATAAGAATTGCTTATTTCCTATAAGAAGTGCAATTTCGAGAATTTATGAATATTAACACCATAAATGTAAGTGAAGTTAAAGTGTCTTGTCACTCAACTACATTGGATATCATACTGAATCATAGTAGCAGACAGTGTATACAATTCGTAATGTAACGGCAAATTAATGTGCCATTAAATTTTCGTACATTACCAATATGCCTCAGTACATGCTAGAGTCAGGTCGACATAGTTACTAATTGAGACTAGTGATAAAATTTCAGTACCTATATATCCTATAAATTAATATGCGCACATTGCGATGGCGTTAATATGATATTGCTTAAGGCGCCCCACTCAGTTATGAATCTTTATAAAAGTTCTGAAACAATAGAAGTAATTAAAAATGATTATAGAGAAAAAGTATAACTAAATTTTAATATAAAATTAAACTTGATTTGAATAGACAAATAGCAGAAACACACATTTAGAGAACGAATAGTATTGACAACATGGGTTTGAAGAAAATTCTTAAACTATTATTATATTGTAAGCGTATATAAGATAAACAATGGATTAAGGCTCATTAAAAATAAATCGGTAATTTTAAAAGATGTCTCCGGATTGCATACAGTATTTCCCTTAAATGCAACAATTAGGTTGACAGGAACACTGAAATATAAATAACAGTGTGAATTCTAGGTGAATTATTAATAATCATGTTATAAATTTAATTCCGTAAAGCTTATATCATAGTAAAAGTTGACCTCTGTACGAGACTATAATTAAGATATTATACTCTAGTAGCAAAGTTTAACACGACAAATAGGTTGGTTATTAAAATGGTAATTGAGAATATCACCCTCAAGAGTATGATGGTCTTAACGACATGATAAATAGTTAGCGTCAATTTTTACAAAACAGGTAAGAATTTATGTAAGAACCATATTTTAAAATATAAATTCCAAAAAATTTACCATGCATGCAGTACTCCAAACGTCTGCAGCGGTGCCATAGCCAGAACCTAATAGTACTTCTAACGCCCTATATTGCCGCGTCTGAATATCTTCAGTAAAGTGTCGATAAGTCCAACAAGCATTGCCCAGGTCAGCTATTTTCACCAGGATATCACAAACCTATAGACATAAAATTATAAAATTTGAGCCGAAAACTTATAAAAGGCAAAAAAGCATAGGGCTTACTTCTTTGCTAGGATCAGGTTGGTTTAATTCGCGTTCAAAAAGCAAAGAACGCCTATTATTGCTGCTTGAGGCAGATCCACTTCCCGTAGTATTACCCGTTTTAACAGAACAACCAGAAGCAGATAGTACAACCATGCTTGCTCGTTTATCCATTGGCGATACCTTGATAATACCACTATTGATGCCAGATTTTTCGTCATTCAAGCTAGACAAATGGCGCATGAGACTCCGACCACTTGTCAGAGTAGAATCAACGCTTTGCTGGTGCTGTTGTATCTCTTTAGGTGAATACTGGACTTGATGATCACTGCTGGAGGCACCACGCTTCGCACCAGCTGGAGGTAGAATTGATCCGATTAATTTCCCGGTGGCGGAAGCCGGACCGAAACCAGCGGCGGTAGCGGCTGCTGCTAGCAAGCTTTCAGGCTGAAGAGTAGTTTTATGAGGCTCTTGTACGCCAGCACATGTTGTTGTATCACTTAAATCGAGATCAGCAGCTGCCCCAGAATGATCTGGAAGCTGTTTAACACGACGCAAATGTACAGGACGTTCAGTTTGTGTGTCACTCCCCTCATCAATGTCATTATCATTCTCATTTGCTGTCAAAATAGCATCATCTTCATCATTTTGCTTATTACTCAACGCATCACCACTACTGCCTTGGCTAAGTTTGTTTTTCCTCCGATTTTTGCGGTTTCGTTTTTTCCCAACGCAAGTGATAGTCGACTGAATGTTTCTTGATTGAACAGAATGACATATTCCGTCTGGTGAAATCTGGCCAAGGAATATTATAAAACAAAGTG